CTGTCAACCCCTCAGATATCAAAGCACTATGTAGAGCCAATCCCAAACATTAGCATGTGAAGATGACCTGGGCTTTGCTACGGTCTCAAGACATCACTCCACGAGATGTTCAAGCTGCCGACGACTCTATAAACCCTAGAAACTTGCGCACAAGACGACCGCTCCGATCTCTGCTTTCTATCCTCAAGTGTACTGGTCCACTCATGACCTTGCGATATCCTTACAACTTACAATGAGTTTGTCCAAGACCCAGCTCTCTGCTTAGCACTTTCTCCAATTGTCTCAAGGTTGCGCGAGCGGTAATGTAAATAGTTTAGTTGAAATGAATATGACGGAGTAGTAGCATGTACACGTATGTAGACGCGAGGACGGATGTTTTCAAAGTCCGCAAAACCGGCCAAGAGTTAGTTAGAAGGTTCGGATATAGGTAATGGCCGATTGCCCGAGGTTTCTGTTTCTTGAAATCCAAGGTTCGGTCATGGATCATGCATCTACTCTGGCCTACTTGGGAAGGTAGTAAGAGATTTCAAACCCCGTGCGTAGAAAATCCGAGTTTGAAAACGCCGAGCGATGACGGAGACAGGGAATCAAATTAGGATTTAAAGTCGTACATGTAGCCCACATACCATCAATCATTCTCTCTCACCTGTCCTCTCTATTTTCACAATCACAACACCGTTTCCAATGTCTGCCAACCTCGAAAAGTAACAAGAGGCAGTTGATTTTTATGTTGAGGCACATCTTATATCTAAGGTTGAAAGCCTCGATCATGCCCTCCGAAACAGCATCGACAAAGGATTGCCAATGATTGCCATGTCTCCGATTCAAGGAAAATTCAGCTCTATGCTTGTGACCTTGAGTTCAGCTAGGCATGTACTTGAAATTAGGACTTTAGGAGCCTACTCCAGTATCTGGCTAGCAAGACATATGAAAGGGAGAGGAACAATTACAAGCCTTGAAATTGATCCTCATCGACGTGATGTAGCAATTGAAAACTTACAATTTGCTGGCATCAAAGTTCCTGACGAGGTCGATGTACAACTCGGGGCGGCCCTGGATATTCTCCCACGACTGAGGAGCGAAATTGCCAGCGGACAAAGACCCTTGTTCGATTTCGTATTCATCGATGCGGATTGGGGTAATCAAGGAAGATACTTTGAGTACGCTGTTGAGTTGACAAGTAAGGGAGGTGTGATTTACGTGGATAATGCTGTCAGAAACCTGGTAGAGAATGGGATGCCTAAGGATGGTCAGTCTGAGGAGGATGTTGATAACTTGGTAAAACAGGTTGGATTAGATGGCCGGGTAGATGCTGTAGTGCTGCAAACAGTTGGGGCAAAGGAGTATGACGGATTTTTGCTTGCTGTTGTAAAGTAGTAAATT